TTCATTAACTTCATGATTTTCATAATTCCTGCATCAAATCATGAATATATATAGTAAGAATCAATGACCTGTAATGTATGAAATGCCTATTTAAAGGCATGAATAATATACACAAATACAAGTTCAGCTTTCCTATATAGTATCAGAGCCTTTTATCACTGTGGCATCCTCTTCTTCAATTCAAACAATGTTCCCTGCTTCTCTTGAGATTACACTCCTAAAATCACATCTGCCTGATATCTCCATCAAGCTCGCTTTAAACAATTATCTTTTATGGAAAGCATAGGTTATTCCTATTTTATGTGGCTATGGACTCTTTGGATATGTGAAGGATAAAGTTCCCTGCCCAGAATCAACTATCATTAGTGAGAATGGTGAATTGCAAACAAATCCTCCTGCAGTAGTATGGCTACGCACGGACCAAATGATCCTTGGATGGATCAACAGTTCACTATCTGATGGATCTTTTTTCTCAAGTCATCAATAGTGAATCTTCGCATGATGTCTAACAAGTGTTAAAGACCCTTTATGGCACTCACACTCGAGATCGCATCCAACAAATCAAAGGCGAACTACAATCTCTGATAAAAGGTACCTCTTCACTAGAAGATTATTTACACAAAGCAAAAGCTTTAGCTCAGTCTCTTTATGGTGCAGGTAAACAATGGATGATGATGAGTTCATCATTTGTATTCTTCGAGGATTAGGATTTGAATTTGATCCTATAGTAGCAACATTAAATGCTAGAGAGACCTTTCCATCTCTTGAAGGAGTTATTGGCAAACTCCGTGACTTTGAAATTCGAATTCAAGGAGCACAAGCAACTGCTCTTTCTATGGCTTTTTATACAAATCATGGCCATACAAACTTAAAGCCATGGATAAACACTAGCACTCGTGGTCACAATCTTCGCAGCTTCACTGGGAGAAATCCCAATAACAACACTCCATCACGAGCTAAAGAGACTCATTTTCCTCACCAAAATGAAAGCTTCACTAGGACTCGTCAGAAATAAATCTCACATAACAGTAATCGTGGATATGGTAGCATCACTTGTTTTGGATGTGGGGGACCTAATCATAAAGCAGATGGATGTTTCGCATCTGATGAAGAAGCTGATCAATACAAGGCCTTTGCTGTAGTTAAAATTGGTGAAATTGCAGCAGAGACATAGTATTCTGACACTAGAGCAAACTAGCATATAACGTTTGACACAAATGAAGTCCAAGGTATTATCTCTTATCCTGGAAATAACTCTGTTATGGTTGGAAATGGTCAGGGCTTGCCTATCACTGGTACTGGAAACATTACTATTCCCACTACCAATCTCAAGCTAAATGATGTTCTTATGGTTCCTGCAATTAAGAAGAAACTATTATTTGTATCTTAATTCACAAGAGATAATAACTGTTATTTTCTGTTTTATTCATGGGGTTTTATTCTTAAGGACATGAAGAAAAAATAGGTAATTCTTAAAGGTTTCATCAAGGATGGGTTATATCCGATCAATCTGCAACAATTCTCCACAATTCCAGTTAGTTTTTTAGCAAATAAAGTGTCCAACAACTTATTGCATTCACGACTGGGCCGCCCTCAAGCCAGAATTCTCACAAAGTTATGTTTAACATCTATGGATAAACAAAATGTTTTTTATGAAAGTTGTGTTTTGGGAAAATCAACAACATTACCATTTGAATCTAGAAAATCATATGCTACTGCTTTTCTGCATACACTGCATTCAGATGTCTGGGGTCCTGCATCTGTCCTCTCTTATGATGGAAACCAATTCTATTTAATTATTGTTGATGAGAATTCCTGGCATAAATGGTTATTTTCTATGAATCGAAAATCTGACGGAGCAATATATTTCCTTCCTTTCTCAAGCAAATGGAAACACAGTTTGATACTCATGTTAAAATATTTCAAAGCGATGGAGGTGGTGAGTTTGTTAATCAAAGTCTGCTGAATCTTTTCAAAACTAATGGCATCATTCATAGAATTTCATATCCAGGAACACTAGAACAAAATGGATTAGCCGAACGAGTCATCGACATATTGTAGAAACAAGATTAACCCTGTTATCACACACTTTTATTCCAATAAAATTCTGGACTGCAGCATTTCATACTACAATGTTCCTAATTAATCACTTACCAACTTCAGTCTTGGGTTACATATCACCGTATGAAGTGGTTTTTGGCTCTACTCTACTTATGACTCCTTACGAGTGTTTGGATGTTCATGCTATCCCTTGCTTACACTATTTGGTCGATCAAAGTTAGATTTTAAATCTACACGATGTGTCTTTCTTGATTACTCCAGCAATCATAAAGGCTATCTCTGCCTTAAGCCACAGACACATTGTTTTTACATATCACGCTATGTGAAATTTAATGAACTCTAGTTTCCCTAAAAGTGCATGCAGCAACCTAATACATATGCCTCTCAATTGTTTAACATTAAGGCACTTCCTCGACTACTCAAAACTGTGGCAGAAAAATCAATTGCCACAGCCCCACAAGTCAGTCATCAAGATCCAGCAACAATTGTTCAAAATGCTGAAAATATTCAAGAAGAATCAGCACCTCAACCTGCCACTTCTGTTTCACTATCTTCATCCACTGCAACAGAAATCACAAGAACAGCATCATATGATTACACGAACTCAAACAGGGAAGTTAAAACCCATGGTATTTATTTCTTCATGACAACTCATTCCTGCATGTTTTATTGCTGACCTTGTTGCCCAACCATAAGAGCCATCTCCAATTCAACAAGCTCTCCAACATCCACATTGGCTTCAAGCAATGCAAGCTGAAATGGATGCCCTTCACAGCAACAAAACCTGGACCTTGGTACCTAGACAAGCCAAAATGAATATTATCAACAGCAAATGGATGTTTAAAATCAAAACATGATCTGATGGTTCCATTAAAGATATAAAGCTCGGTTGGTGGCTTGTGGATTTTCACAGCAACCAGGACTTGATTATGATGAAACATTCAGTCCTGTTATAAAACCAAGCACCATTTGGCTTATCCTCACCATTGGCATGTCTCAAGGATGGTCTGTCAAACAACTAAATGTTAGCAATGCCTTCCTTCATGGTGATCTACAGGAGCAAGTGTATATGGCTCAACCTCCAGGTTTTAAAGATTGATCTCATCCAGATTATGTTTGTGATCTTTATAAAGCTCTATACAGATTGACGCAGGCTTGTCTTACATGATACCTCAAATTCAATAACTATATTCAGCAAATGGGATTTACACGATACCCTTATGATCAATCCTTATTTTATCGCACTCAAGGATAAGACATTCTTCTCTTACTTATCTATGTTAATGACATTCTTTTGACAGGCAGCTCATCTTCACAGATTACCAAGCTTATTGCCCATCTCTCTGCTATCTTCCATATTGAAAGATCTTGATGACATTCATTATTTCTTAGGACTTTAAATTGCTCATGATGAGTCCATATTCACAGTCACTCAAACAAGGTATCTAATGTCTCTTCTTCAAAAGTTTGGCCTTGACAGTGCCAAACCAGTAAGCACTCCACTAGCATCAGGTTCTTCCATGTCTATCATTAATGGTGTTCCCTTAGCTGATCCTTCTCGCTATCGTTGTTTGGCTGGTTCTCTACAATACCTCACCCAGACCAGACATTTCGTTTGCTATACATCATGTCTGTAGATTCATGCAAACACCTTATGATACTCATCTTATTACTGTAAAAAGAATTTTTTAGTATCTGAAGAGGACACTTAATGTTGGACTTCACTACATTCGCACTCATGTTCATGAACTTCGTGGTTTTTGTGACATAGATTGGGCTAGCTATAGGGATGAAAGATGTTCCACTACTAGGTTTGCTATTTTTTTAGTCACCAATTTGATATCCTGGGGAGCTAAGAAGTAGGCCACTGTGTCTCGATCGACAACTGAGATAGAGTATCACGCCTTACCTTCCATTGCAGCTGAGCTCATGTGGATCGTTCATTTACTCAAAAATATTAGCCATTGTGTTCCTCCTTCTAAGCTCTACTGTGATAGTATTAGTGCCATCCATATGGCTAAAAATCCAGTATTCCATCATCGTACAAAACACATTGAAATAGATGTCTATTTTGTTAGAAAACGAGTTGCAAGTGAAGCTCTTTCTTTGGCTTATATTTCAAGATCCGATCAAATTACAGATATTTTTATCAAATCACTTTGTGCTGCAATGTTTACATTAATCGTGACAAGCTTTGCCTCAGTCCAGCCCTGCCTTGAGCTTTAGAGGGGATGAAGTGTAGGATTCAAGTGCAGAAATCTTGCACGAATCTTCTACATGCTATAATTCTTTGTTTTATTTACTTCATGATTTCCATAATTCCTGCATCAAATCATGTATATATATAATAAGTATCAATGACCTGTAATGTATAAAATACCTATTTAAAGACATGAATAATATACATGAATACAAGTTCAGCTTTCCTACAGAAACGGGTAGAAATTAATGAAGAGAAACTTGAGCTTATCAAGAGACGAAATGCAAGTCAACAAAAAAATGCACCAGGTTCTGGATTGATTAATCCAAAAGCTTTACATGAAAAAAACAAAAAAAAAAAAAAGGGGGACTAGCATGTTATACCTTCATGAGGAATGATTTGAACTTGATGAAAATTAATGGATCCATGAGTTCCCGCAGCACCATTTTTTCCATCATAAATCCTACACATCTTTTCAACATGGATGAAACAGAATTCAGTACATCAGGAGCTCTGTTATCTATGCATACGAGTCAGCAGCATTCCCTAGTATCCCCCCCTATAAAGTTGGAAGTTCAGAAGTTTCACAAAGTAAGACATCAATGCAAGAAAGACTTCACATGTTATGGAGCAGAAAGTTATGGAGCAGAAAACAGTGGATAGCGCATGTGGGAGGTGCAGTCATTCAATGGTGCTGATTTATTCATTTGTTGTTTCGTTCCTCAATATTTGTGCTACCTTTCCTCAACCATAAGTCTAGAACCACCAAAATTTCCCATTATTCGATGCTGTTGAAGAGGTCCAATACCAGAAATAAAATTTGACTTCAATAGATAAACCGAGATTGTTGTCAAGTGTTGTCATATCAGAAAGCACAAATCAACAAGAGTTTCCTCAAACGCCCTTCTCCTTAAAGAATCTCTTTCCTTTTTCTATATATATCAAATTTAATTCTAAATTCAGAGAATCTAAAATAAAATTAAAAAAAAAAAAACAGCATAAGAGGGGGGAAAGCTTGCATTTACTTTAATATGCCTATCCACTGGGCTTATATGCACATTCTCCAGCCTCAACGCTGTATCCGAAAGTCCATGGCTGTGCAAGTAGTTCACCTTAAGTAAGCGAAACAAACACCTTACACTGTAGTTGTGCACAGCAAATGGCAACTATTTGAGCACAGATAATACAATTAAGATATACATGCTCCAATCAAGAGATCCCTCATCAATTTGTGTGTTATCTGCAACTGCCGAGAGACAGCAGGTCCTCCGACCGTGTCATCTCCCACCCTCCTGACAGATTCCTCATCCAATGCCAGAGTGGTTTCCAATGTAGGTAGCAATCTAAAAAATAATAATTTCACGTGAATCGAAAAATAAAATATTTTATTTTTTATTTATTTATTTATTTATTTATTTTTATATTAAATTAGTATTTTATAAATTCCATTTCGTAAATTTACAAGATTATTTTTTTATTTTTTTTATTTTTTAATTTTTCTTTAAAATTTTTTTATATTTTTCCCTTACTTTTCTCTCGTCTTTTTTTTTTCATTATGTTTCTGCCTAATTGGTAACGTATATAAAAAAAAAACTTATTTATTTTATTTTTTTAATAGTAAATAACTATTTTATTCTTAATGAATTTTTTTGTTTTTATTTAACTTTTTTTTGTTAGAACTACTAACTCTATTTATTTTAAAAATTTTAACAAGATTTTATTCTATATATTTTAAAATTTCTCGTAAAATTTCAGTTCAATTTGATGGTCGGATTGAAAATTACACTCAATAATATAAAACTAATCAAATTATAATTTTTTATCAAATTTTTGAATTTTTTAAAAAATTATTAAATTTTAATTTAAATTAAAATATCATATTAAAAAGGTTTACACGAATTTTTAGAATTTTTTACTATATCAGATAAAAATTAAAACTTTTCTTTACATAAAAAGATATTGATCTGGGTAGAGTCCACTCCAGTCCATGCATGCCTACGCTCTTGGCCAGGCCTTTCATTCTTTTGTCCTATCCATCTACCGCGCCAGGGATCGCACGATTTACTTGCACCATCGCGCGATGGAAAAAAGCTATCGCGCGATGGAAAAATCAAGCTTGTTTTTTACGTAGCAGGTCCTGGTATAAATAGAAGCATATGGAAAGCTCCCACGAGCAAGAAGAAACCCATTTCAGTTGCTCTGCTTTTGCTTGTCCTAGAAAATGGCACAGGTCTCCAAGATCCTCAAAAAGACTGATACTAAGAAGAGGCTGTCAGTTCCTACCAGGTTTCTCAGGTCCCTTCCACCTTTCAAACTAGGCAGCCATGCCGTCAAGTTTGAAGCTACAGACGAGAAAGGCGAAGCTTGGCCCTTTCAATGCTCCATCCGCAAGAGAGGACAGTACCCGAAGCCAGTCCTCACAAGAGGTTGGGTTGCATTCGTTAAGAGCAAGAAGCTGCGAGTTGGTGACAAGGTCAGGTTTATCAAACGTGAGAACCGAGCTACTGCAACAATCTCTTACAAAGTTCGTGCTGAAAAGGCAATCAAGATCTTTGGTGCTACATTTGGCTACGCACGGATCTAGTCCATTTCCCTAATTAATAGTTCTGCAAGTCAAGCTAGCAAATAATAGTGTCGGTTTCATGCACTGGCTTGCATCGAGTCCCTTTCTGTACTTATGCATTTTACTTCTCCTCAGTCGTAACTCTACGCTGCAAAGTTTCCCCAGTCGTAATTCTACACTGCTAAGTTTCCTCAGTCGTAACTCTACGCTGCAAAGTTTCCCCAGTCGTAATTCTACACTGCTAAGTTTCCTCAGTCGTAATTCTACTCCACTAAACTACACGTTGGTTGTTATTAATGGTTGGCTTGTTCTTTATCCAGTAGTGAATGAAATGGAGCCATGTTTCCCGCTTAGGATGACATGTTAGATTTCTAAGTTGGGTGACTTTCAAGTTTCTTGAATTCTCATATATTTGTGCTGCTTCTGCAATTAGTATGTTTAACTTTCAAAAGCCATCCCATCTGCTAAGGTCTCTCAAGATGTTCCTTTTGCACCTTTCTTTCAAGAATATGGAATTACTGATCCCTGAATAACGCAATATATAGGGAGCTCGCGAGGCCACTTCTCATGCAAGGGTACGTAGTAGTAGTTATGTGGTATATGTGATTGCGCTCTTGCATATGAAATGAGAATTATTTTGCATATTTGGCATCTTGACGAAAGAAAGTAACGATGTTGGCTTAAATCCGTTGCGTGATTGCCTCTTTAAGAGGTATTATTTCATGTTTAAAATTATGATATCAAAGTGGGTTTGATCTTGAAATTACACCTCTTGAAATAGAGAGATAATATATAGCTAGGGTTTATAAATTACCTGAATCCTCCTCGACTTCCTATTGACGTAGAATATTGATATAATCATAGAGCATTAATGTTGGTTCGATCAGGGAATCCTCTTCACAAAACCATAAAAAACGGCGCTCGTGCGGTTCATTTCTTTTAGTGGCTTCCAATGACGCTACAGTCAAGGTGATGGTGAGAATGGTGTGCGCCTGCAAAACAAATCCACCCTCGGGCCCCACCACATGCATAATTACATCTCGGCCCTAGACTCTTAAAAGATATATTTCCATCAGATGTAATGACATCAATGTTTTTACACAAATAGTCTTATGATTCTCGTTGCGATGAATTGAATCATTTGATACTTCACATCTGGGTGTTGAGATGCTGTTGGTTTTTCATCCAAAATTGGGTCTTCATAAAATCTCGGAGGGATGGCATTTTTTTGGAGGCGAATCTCGACAATTATGATGATCTTAATTGTTAAACAAAATCCGGAGGCTTTCCAATATATGGGTCAGCGGGTCACCCTCGAGTCACATTTTTTATCCGATTAGTTCCAAACGGATCACTAAAATTCCGACCATATTGAAATGATTTGTCCGTAACAATATGTTATCAAATTCAATTAAAAAAAGAAAACCCAGCCCTAATCTGTCTTGAATTTTCCGAATCAATCAACAAAGCAAGGTACGTAGAGTTTGACAGCTATAATCATAACTAAGAAAGCCATCATCACAAGTGAAATAAAGACTACATGACATTGAGGTTATAATTGGATTGACATGAGCAATAATAAATCTTAGTGGTGTGTGTTCGACTGGTAATAGCCATAGCATCATTTTAGGTCGGTCAGAATCTAGAGAATGGTTCGTGGCAGCAAAAACGATGGAGCATGAACGTACCAGACAGAAGCTGATGGTTTTATAGTCTGTTTGGTATCATCTTGAGTACCGCTGGCTGTCTTCTTATTAAGGTTTAGAATCATTTTTCAAATAAAGCTTTATAAAAATGCAACATTTGACAAGCCACTCGGATATCAGGCCGCACTGCATTTGGAAAAGGGTGATCTTCTTCAATTAATCGATTGTACAAATTACACGAGCAAGAACACAACTGCTACTTACATTCCCAACAGCAATTTCTATCTACATTACTTGCACGGAATGGCCATCTACTGGTTTCATCAACACATAGATCTTGTAAATAAGAGAGCTGATCCATTGACCCCGCGCAGGACTAGCAGTCTGGAGTCCACGTATGTTCCACAGACGAGCTTAGACAAATCAAACATCTCAGGCGGAACTTGCACGCGAAGTTGTTGAACTATACTGCTTGGTGGAACATCATTTTGATTAAGGTTGTCCCCGAGACTCATTGTCACCTCAATGTCAGCTGAAACAAGTTTGGCCGCTGGAAGGCTCGATGGAAACTCCTTATACGGGACAAGTTTCCCCCATTTTTTAGCTGATAATTTCTGGGCTAAAGAATCTTGATTGTTTGGTTGCCCAAAGGATAACTTCTCTGATGTCTTTTCCTCCTTAAGATACAACCGTCTCCCGGATGTCAACCGGAATAACGAGTTTACTTCCAATTTCCCAGTTATACCACTTTTTTCATTAGGCCAGTCTCGACCATTGATGACCGTGAAGCCAATGTCCGATGTGAAGGAAATACTAGTATTTATTTTTGATGCTCTATTTATAGTTAGATAAACGTCACCAATCAGGACACGAGCTGACTTCAATAGGTAAACTGAAATTGTTGTGCATCGTGTTGTCATATCAGAAAGCATAAATCAACCAGAGTTTTCCTCAAACGCCCTTTTCCTTCAAGAATTTCTTTCCTTATTCTATATATATCAAATTTAATTCTACATTCAGAGAATCTAAAATTAAAAAAACAGCATAAGAGGGGGGAAAGCTTGCATTTACTTTAATATGCCTATCCACTGGGCTTATCTGCACATTCTCCAGCCTCAACTCTATATCAGAAAGTCCATGACTCTGCAAGTAGGTCACCTTAAGTAAGCAAAACAAACACCTCACACTGTAGTTGTGCACAACAAATGGCAACTATTTGTGCACAGATAATACAATAATACAATTAAGATATACATACTCCAATCAAGAGATCCCTCATCAATGTGTGTTATTTGCAACTGCCGAGAGACAGCAGGCAGCAGGTCGTCCAATGGTGTCATCTCCCACGCTCCTGACAGATTCCTCATCCAATGTAAGGTTGGCTTCCAAGGTAGGAAGCCAATCTGATTGTTGAAGCCAATGTTTCAAAGAAAAACTGTGTTATTTGCAACTGCCAAGAGACAGCAGGTTCTCCAACCGTGTCATCTCCCACCCTCCTGACAGATTCCTCATCCAATGCAAGATTGGCTTCCAAGGTAGGAAGCCAATCTGATTGTTGAAGCCAATGTCTCAAAGAAAAACTACCATGATACTGCCATAAAATAAAAAGGAAGAGATAAACTTTCACATCCCTAAACTCACAAATGGAAAAATTGAAACATGGGAAGAACTGCTTCCAAACGCAACATGCAGAGAAATGAAGGTTTGTCCAATAAAAACAGAAAATCTCCAACATGGGTGTCCTAGAAAGACTAACCTACCTAGCATAAATAACTAAATGGCTTCACACAACGAAACATTTAATGCATACGCAATATCAAAACCTTACACAGAAACAGAACATACCCCATGTGCCAGAGTAAACGAACCACGGCCACTAGAAGGTGAAGAAATATAACCATGAAATTGCATCGAATAAGAATGGTACATAAGTTTACGGCGAACCAGCTTCTTCAACACCTAAAAACACTTTAACAACACCAAAGTTACAGCATTATTCAAAACCTCAAATACCAAATAAAGAAAACTCC